AAAACTATAGCAAATTTAATTTCCTAGATTTTATTTGCTGGGCGCACCTTTATACAAATCCATTTTCACGATGAAAACTGATATATACTGCTTTTCATCGTGAAAATGGATTTGTATAAAGGTGCGCCCAGCAAATAAAATCTAGGAAATTAAATTTGCTATAGTTTTGTTGCTAAACTCAGTTTCGAGAAACTCTTCCTTCATGGTGAAAAGTTAGAAATACCATCTATTTGGCTTATTTCTGACTTTGTACACCGTGCGTCTTTCTTCCTGAATGAACAGTTGTTGATTGAACTATGCTTCCTTCATATTCTGTCAAATGTATTTTTAAGAACTTGTGCAACATTTTCGGTTATGATCGGCTTCGGTTAACCGAAATTGGTGCATGCCTATATACGTGTTAGTTTATAGTTTATACCTACATTATGTCGTAGAGCATTTCGTCTGAAAAATGCTTTTTAAATCATTCATCAGATACTTCTCTACTTCAAGCTATGATATACTCATGTATATTTTTCTGGACGTACATATGAAACAACATTTTACAGCTTTTGCATGTTATTTGATTAAAATTAAAACCATAGGCTTTGTCGCCACAAACACAACAAATTAACTCTTTTTGCTTTTTCTGTTCGTCGTTCTCAAAATTCACTATGCTTGAAAAGTTTACAACTTCGGATGAAATTTCGGGCTGTTGAGTAAACTGAATAAAATCTTCAAATGGATTAAACTGAAAACAAAGTGAATCAATTACTAAATGTTTGTTCCATATATTTGTGTCATACCTGATTCAATACATCTGGTGTATAATCAATAATTGCTGATTCAAATGAATCAAAGATAAAATCTGTATCATCCATCATCTGAAATGTTTCACTAAATCAGTACTACTGCTCCGGTAGACATGCTCCGGTTAAAAACCGGTATTTTTAACTTTCTTCGATTGTGTGAAGAGTATGGCATCTTAAATTTTTCTCACAACTCAGTTTTGTAGAGCAAACATTTCTCAATAAAACGAGCTATGACAAACCTTTTCATCTTTTCTCTTTTCCTTGCAATCGCCTTTCTACGAACAGCCCCATTTCAACCATTGATAAATGGGGTTCTTATTAAATTTTTTAAAAAAACATTCAAAACTTCAACTGGTATTATTTCCATTGCCATTTACAGATCCACAAATGCGTACTTTTTACCAAGTCAATAAAAATGACACCGCTACATTTTCTACTTTTTCCACCGTGCGAAAAAACAAAAACGTTCGTTCTATCTCAATAGAGTGAAAAATGACAGATTCTTTTCTTCTTTCTTTCGTTTATTCCCTTCGAACAGTAACAAAAAAGCAGAAAACAGACGTTTGCACCTTCATTCGTAACATTTTTGTTTTTCTTCTTACGTTTACTATTATTATTAACATTTTTGAGTGAATATTTGGGGCTTTCAAGTCATACCGAAAGCACGAGAAAATGAAATACATGCTCGATTTAAGCGATGGAAACTGGATAAGAAACTATTGACTACCACACACGGACAGAAACAAGACCTTATTCTTTTTTTGTGCAGGTAAGAGTAATTCATTTTTGTGTTTTGAGTACATTTCTTTCGGATACGGGGGCGTTTGATCGTGCTCAGAATATTTGCACATTGTCTTCGTAGTCATCTAAATTGATTCCAACTCCATCGCATGATTCATCCTATATTTGTGAATGAAAGTTGATGACTTTCTATTGTCAGTAAGAAAAAGAATGCACTCAATTGTTTTTTTAGTAGCCTTAGATAGAGGGTAGTTGAGGAGCTGCGACTTTCACCCTTTGAAAGAGAAGACTTGGGATCATCTTTTCTCAAGAGAAATCAATTTCGGAAATTATTTGAAGTACAGGGTGGTAAATAATATTATTCAAGGGGGGTAACGCTATAATTCTAAATCGGAGATATGATGAATTTTATACCAAAGAAAGCCCGTGAAAAATGGGATGTAGTGATGTTAAATAGTAAGACTTTGAAGGACTTTCGTGCATTGAATTATCAAAAGTTACGATTTCTTATCGACACAAAATATTATAACGAGTGTGCCATAATAGACTGGACTAAATGTTACTGCATATTATTCGTACTTTCTCTTCAAATATAGCAAAAGATAGAAAATTGAATTCTCTACAAAACCTACTATCTGAATCTCTGAAAGCATTTTGCTTTTGTTGTCTCGGTTTTTTCAGATTTTTAGCACATTGTTTGAGGTTCAATAGTTAATTTTTCTAGGTAGACAGATAGAGAATTTTTCGCTCTATCGATCTCACTCATTTACAACCTCATGCAATGTTTCCACTACGTCAGCTGGCCTCATAATTAGTTTTCAACCGGCTTTTCAATTTTTTCAAATTAAATTAAGTTTTTTAATTAATGGTTTTAATTGAGAAACTTTGTTTATATATCAAAAGACACAGAATTTAATTCTATGTAAGATAATAAGACTAAAACCCTGGATTTAGAACGTTTTACTGCTTTTATAGACGTCTATGAAAAATAGGTTCAAAAGTTACGTTCTTTTAGATTTATCAGCTTTTTGCACAGAGAAATTTTTCTAGAAGATTTAACTGCAAAATTTTGAAAAATATGTGAGAAGATGCAAAATTTTCCGGTGAATCTTCTA